CAAACTCGATCTGGTCTCCCTTTGCGAGGCCATGGAGACAGCCTGCCACTCCAAGGATTGACACCCTGGCAGTACTTTTCCCAAACAAAATGCTTTAATTCAGTGTAACCAATCTTTCCTAATACAATTAATCTAAACCTAAGTTAAAATATAACAGGTATACAAGATAAAGAGCCCCAAACCAGAATGTCATACAGTCGGGATGGTTTAAGGGATTATATTTGGCCGATGGTGATCAGTCACATAAAGGATACTGACCGCAGGCTTAATAAACTCTAAGCTTTATACATAGCTTTAAACATACATACACAGACTTCCGACTTTATTATCCCAAGGATACACATTTATTAACCTGACTTTCAGATTTTCTTCCTTTCTGTTCTTCACACTTTTAGGGTTCTCTAATCTTCCCCTTCTTCTGCTGCTCCTGACCTGGCTGACTTCTATACGTGCCAGCTCTCTCCATTTTATACAGGGCCCTACCAAATTCGCAGCCATGAAAACCGCATCACGGAACGAGAAATCTGGTCTCCCCACCCCACGTGAAATCTGGTCTTTTGTGTGCTTTTACCCTACGCTATACAGAGTTCACGGGGGAGGCCAGCGTTTCTCAAATTGGGGGTCCTGCCCAAAAGGGAGTTGTGGGGAGGTCGCAAGGTTATTTTAGGGGGCTTGTGGCATTGCTACCCTGACTTCTGCGCTGCTGCCTGCAGAGCTGGGCGGCCGGTGAGCGGTGGCTGCAGCGTCTTTGTCCTCCAGACGTGCTTCCAGGTATTGAGTTGTGGAGCGGGCATGAGGTCGAGACAACATGTCACCTCCCCATTTTATAGTTTCTTCCAGCTTGCTGGAAAGATCTATGCTTGTGACATGGAGGTCTGCCCCGCCCCCGGTCAAGCAGCTGCCTTTGTCTTCATGCTTCCTGAGAAGTCTTTTGAGCTGGTCCATGGAAGAGTGGGAGGATCCACCCTAACCCTAACCCTGGAGGAGTCTCTGCACCTTGACATCTTTAAACCACAAGTTGAGGACTTCAGTGGCTCAGACATAGGTCAGGGGTTTGTTACAGGAGTGGGTGGGTGAGATTCTGTGGCCTGCGTTGTGCAGGGGGTCAGGCTAGACAATCATAATGGTCCCTTCTGACCTTAAAGTCTATGAGTGGGTTCCCTTTAATGGGCGATCAGCATGTCTGGCTATGCCAGTGTGGTACCTGACAGGTTGGTTGTGAGTGCTCAGAACATATTTCAGTAACGCGCAGAGAGCAAAACTGCCTGACTTCCCACACAAGCCAACAGGCGATTAATGTTCAACAGATCATGACTTCTAAAACGATACCTCGCCAGGCACACTTGGTGCAACACATGGCATAATTATATGACAGTAGAGGGGGTTCCAGGGTGCTACTCTGTGGCAGTTTGATTTCTCTTGTGAGGTTTACGCAGAAAAACCATTTCCTTGGCATGGCTCCATGAACAGTAAAACCTGTTGTGACGGAGCAGGGAGTGCGGAGGATTGACCTGGTAATATTGCGTGGGAGTTTTACTGGGACTGTCTGCATGGGTGCTGGATGGTGGTGGGATATCAGGGGGGTGACTTCACTTGAGGGATGATACATGAGCCTGTAACCTGAGCCCAGGAGGGGTTTGGGGCCAGGTGACACCTTCTGCCCGGGAAATTGGACAAAGGCTGGAGGAAGAGCCGGGGTGTGTGTGGCTGGGTGAGACAGCTGGAGGGGGCCTCAGTTTGGCTGGGGAAATGGAGGGAGGTCCAGACGGGGGTCTCGGCTCCCTATCCCCGAAGATGGACCTGACTGAGGGGTCCTGTTTCCTGTTTCTACCTACAAGCATAGGTGCCGACTTCTGCTCTTGCCGGTGGGTGCTCAAACCCCCGCTGCCCTGCCCCGACTCCACCCCTTCCATGAGGCCCCACCCCTTCCCCAAAGTCCTTGCCCCTATTCTGACTCCTTCCCCAAATCCTCACCCCAGCCCCGTCTCTTCCCCGCCTCCTCCCCTGAGTGCACCCCATTCCCACTCCTCCGCCCCTCCCGGAGCGGCCAAACAGCTGTTTGGCGGTGGCCGTGCAGGAAGCGCTTGGAGGTAGACGGAGGAGTGAGGACACTGCGCGCTCGGGGGCAGGAGGAGGAGGGGTGGGGGGGAGGGGAGCTTGGCTGCCGGTGGGTGCAGAGCACCCACTCATTTTTCCCCATGGGTGCTCCAGCCCTGGAGCACCCACGGAGTCGGCGGCTATGCCTACAAGCTCTGTTTTGGACTGGGCTCCTGTCGTCCAATAAACCTTCTGTGTTACTGGCTGGCTGACAGCCCCCGCAGGAAGTGGGGGGGTGCAGGGCCCTGACTCCCCCACACTTTGTGACACCTGTCTCTTGTCCAAGCCAGGGCACTCAATTCCATTGAAACTTACTCTCCTTTCAAAGGAAATACTGGCCAAAGAGACGGGATGTGGGCATCTTCCACCCTGCCGGTGAAACGTTCACTCTCCTGTTTATGCTGCTGTCCTTGCATGGAAGGCCTGGAGTGGAACCAAAGGCTGAGTTTATCCAGGCTGAGGAAAGAAAGGAGCAGCCCCCCTCCCCGCTCGCCACCGATAATCTCAGTGCTCCGGTGACGACCTGCGATTGGAATCACCGCTGGCCTGCAGCTTGCAATCGGAAACGGACTGTCTGAATTGTCAAGGTCTGAAACGAACCACAATCTCCAGCAACGCTATGAGTCACAGTCTGCTTCCATCATGCTCAAGCCGGAAGAGAAATTGACAACAATTCTTGCCGTTTAGCCGTGACACAGTGGAGGCGGGGGCGGGGGGGGGGGGGAATTGTGTTGGCAGAGACCGGGGTGTGGCCGGTTCAGGCCATGGCAGCAGGCAGTGTGGAACCACGTTGGATTCTGGAAGCGGGTGTGAGGCAGGGACTGGTTGCTGCTAACTGGCAGATGGAACACGGCTTTACAAGGATCTCCTGGGTCAGATATCTGCATCATAGTTCAGGGGCCCCATTTCAGATTTTGGGGAGAGGGCAACTTTAACTGGGATTGCAGGGGCTACTTAGGCACCTGAAAACTCTAGGTTTTTTTTGTTTGTTTGTTTTTTTGCAGATAATTTAGAAATTAGCTGACAGGAGAACTGTCTAATTCCTATATAAAGAAAGAAAATTCAATAAATATTAGACTGACTCACCTCTGATACTAATGTGTTCTGACATCTTGTGCCATGTCATAGAATACCAGGGGTGGAAGGTCATCTCTAGTCCAACCCCCTGCTTGAAGCGGGACCAATCCCCAGACAGATTTTTACCCTAGATTCCTAAGTGGCCCTCTCAAAGATTGAACTCACAACGCTGGGTTTAGCAGGCCAATGCTCACACCACTGAGCCATCCCGCCCCTGTCTTTAAGAGACACTGGGTAGGTTTAAAATTGTAATGTCTATTCTTACTTTGTTACTAACTCTTGAATGCAACAATTGCAGAAAAAAGCCAGATGACTTTCTATCACTTTTTTTTGCCATTCCCAAAGCTTGGAACAGATCATTTAACTTCTGGAAACACCGTACCAGGGCAGGGCCCGGTGAGTTCATACAGCACCTGCTGGAGCTCTATAGGTGTTACCCAACCACAAATCATAGACTAGAAACTGACTTTCACCAGGAGTGAAACTGACACGTTCAAGTCATTTTCACAATATTGCCAACTCCAAACGTTCAAAAATGATGAATCAGGCTCACCGTAAATCATGAGATTAGCTTTAAAATCATGAAAGAGCAGTTTCCCCCGGGGCTCCTTCTGCTCCGATGGTTCCTACAGTCTCAGTAATTTTATCATCTGACATACACGCTGTCATCCTGGCAGGGAAAGAAAAGAACAGAAAGTGGAGAGAAAAGGAAAAAGAGAGGATCCCCATCCCCGCCCCAAGCTGTCTCACTTCCACCACCCTCCTTTACTCTCATCCCATCCCACTGGGCTCTCTCTATGCTGCAGCCATGGACATGACACCAGAGTTTGCTGTGGTTCTGAGCATCAGCATTGAAAGCAAGGAGTCTGTCTCTCTGGTGCTCATTATGATCCCACTTCTGCTGGCACCAAGCAGGATGGACTATAACGAATAAGCAGCCTGATCCCAATGCAAAGGGGTGAGGAGCAGTGAGGAGACAGCCAGGAACTACTGAGGGTGGAAGGGAGTTGGGAGCATGGGGGGGGGAACAATGGGAATTATTGGTGTTCCATAGGGACTGAGCTGGGATTGGATAGTGCACTCTCTACATTCCCCTGCTGGGAGCAAATAGTTGTGAAATTCCCTGGAAAAGCGTGAGTCTCATCCCCCTCTTCTGACCAGTCTACATACAGGATAACAACCTACTACTGCTGCTTCTCCATCAGTTGAGCAGACAGAAGTCTGTGTGGTGGATCTAAAAGCCCCGCTTTGCTGATCATACACATCCATTTGACTTTTGAAACTTTTGAAAAACAGGAAATGCATAGTTAAGGTTGCCCACCCAACCTTAACTCTGCCTTTTTTCAGCAATGCCCCAATATGCCCTGTTAACACACATGCATTCACTTTGCCAGCACATTCGCTGAACCGTACAGGCTCTTCAACCCCATTAACAACCCTTCAAATAAGACCCCCAACATCAGCTGGGCCTGACTAGGCACAGCCAGCCAGATGGGGCCACAGGCTGGGCCTAGCCGTGATGGACACTGCAGAGCAAGGCACCATCACCTGCCAGTATGCAGAGACTCTCCCCACCTCAGTGACCCCATATCACTCCCACACTGCCCCACCCAATTCCCCAAAACCTGGGGGGGGGGTGGGGCTCATTGTCCCTTGTGATGCCCAGAGCTCCTCCAGTTACAGCTGGAGCAGAGATGGAGGCGCCTTCTGGCTGCTCCCCTGTGAGAACCAAAGGGTTAATTTAGATGACTCGCTGATCTCCACCCTGATGTTCGGCAGTTCCGGCCCACGTTGCTTATTGAAAGAAATGGCTCCAGCTTCCCCTTTATACATTTTATTAAACTGAAAAAAACAACAACCCAAAATCAAGAACACACATCACTAAGACTAAACTGCTATATACATGACTAAATTAACCATTGGGTGAACACACTTATGTTAAAGTCAAAATCGGTAAATCAATGCGTTAACAATGCTATTGCATTGCAATCATGTTATCCATTTAGTCAAATGATGAAATTAACACAACAGATCACCAACCCTCATAAATCCTAAAACAGGAACCCAAGGAGGCAGCTGTCCATTTAATTGCAAACCTCAATCCCAGAACTTCACCCAGGCCGTGCAATCCACACTGAGCTGTTAAATATGTCAGTACCAAAACCGAATGATTGTTCGTGTTTGAACTGCAACCTCAAAGCCAATTAAAGCTTCCTCCTTCGATTGAACTTGTGTGTGGTTAACCTTGTCCTAAAGATTTGCAGCATTAAGCACCGTTGCCTATATTACTAGCGATATATACAGTCATTTTAGGTAAAAGCACTCTTGTTTGTGCCAATCATTTGTGAAACAAACTAGCTGTGTCCCCATTAATTTATTCCTAACACAGCCTAACAAGACCAGTTGAGTTACCAGTGCTTTGGGTTCTAAAACCCGTGAGTAACAGATTTGGCAAGCCAACCAGGAGTGGTGGAGAGAAGGGGATGATTGGCACAAATGGTTTGTTGGATGGTTTCCTGTGCAAAAGGGAAGAACTGCAGGGTAGGGTAGCAACCTGTAATTTCCCTGTGACATAGTCGATTTACGAATACATTCCATTACTGGAACTCAGGGCTCAGGCTGGTAGCCTGGTCAAGGAAAAAATTGATATAAAAAAACCCCTAAAAATAAAAGTTAAAAATAATATTTAAAAACCGCTTATTGATTTTCTACAAGAGAATGGTAATGTTTTTTTAAGCCTTTACCGGCCCCGGAACGTTGCTGCAGTTCTGCAAGCAGATGATCACAATAATAATAAATTAAAAAATAAATGAATTAAAGGCAAAAATTAAAAAGCAATTCAAAAATAAAATTAAAAAATATATATCCAGCCTGAAGTCAAATCCAAATACCCTCCGCATCACCAGTGTAACTCCGGTTACGTGCAAATCATGGCAAAGGAAAAGCAGGTATGTAATAGTAAGCAAAAATGTCACAGGCTGAGGCAAAAAGTGTCTAAATTAAAACAGCCAACAATAAAAAGCAAAGGGGAAAAAAAAGTTACAGTCTTACTAAATAAATCCCCAAATAAAACCGACGCAGATCACGGGGAATGTAAAAGACAAAGCTGGGCTCTCAAGCCATGTTAAAAAAGCAAAAGTGGCTGCAATTCGAAAAAGTCGTAGTCTGAAAAGGGTTGAAGAAAAACAGTTAAAATAAGAAGAAAAAAAAAGAGTTCAAGGTTAAATGCTTCACCCCTAAACATGCTAGGGCAGCAGAAAAAAGTCGGTTGGCCCGATAAGTAAGGATAGACGTTTTTCCCACACTCAGAGCATCTAGAGTGTCTCTATGAGGTGTGGAGCCTCTGATGTCTAATAAGATTGGAGCTCCGAGTGAAGTTTTTCCCGCACTCGCCGCATTCATAAGGTCTGGCTCCCATGTGGATTCTCTGATGTTTCAAAAGTGCTGAGTTGTCTATGAATTTTTTCCCACACTCACCGCACCCATAGGGTCTCTCCCCTGTGTGGATTTTCTGATGTGTAATAAGGTTGGAGCGCCAAGTGAAGCTTTTTCCACACTCAGCGCATCCATAGGGTCGTTCCCCTGTGTGGATTCGCTGATGTTTAATAAGGCATGATCTCTGAGTGAAGCTTTTCCCACAGTCACAGCATGTATGCGGTCTCTCTCCGGTGTGGATTCGCTGGTGTTTAATCAGGTCTGAGCTGTCAGTGAAGCTTTTCCCGCAGTCACCACATTCATAGGGCTTTTCTCCGGTGTGGATTCTCTGATGTTTAATAAGATCTGAGCTGTCTGTGAAGCTTTTCTGACACTCACTGCATTCATAGGGCCTCTCCCCCGTGCGGATCCTCTGATGTTTAATAAGGAGAGAGCTGTCCGTGAAGCTTTTCCCGCACTCACAGCATTCGTAGGGTCTCTCTCCTGTGTGGGTTCGCTGATGTGTAATGAGATTTGAGCTGCGAGTGAAGGTTTTCCCGCACTCACAGCATCCATAAGGCCTGTCCCCCGTGTGGATTCTCTGATGCTTCTTAAGCGATGAGCTGTCAATGAATTTTTTCCCGCACTCACAGCATCCATAGGGTCTCTCTCCCGTGTGGATTCTCTGATGTACAATTAGGTTTGAGCGCCGAGTGAAGCTTTTTCCACACTCAGAGCATCCATAGGATCGCGCCCCAGTGTGGATGATCTGATGTCTAAAAAGGCCTGAGCTCTGAGTGAAGGTTTTCCCGCACTCACAGCATTCATGGGGTCTCTCTCCTGTGTGGATTCTCTGATGTTTAATAAGGGATGCTCTCTGAGTGAAGCTTTTCCCACACACAGTGCATTCATAGGGTCTCTCTCCTGTGTGGATTCGCTGATGCGTAATGAGGTCCGAGCTCTGAGTGAAGCTTTTCCCGCACTCACTGCATTCATGGGGTCTCTCTCCCGCATGGAATTTCTGATGTTTAATAAGGGCTGAGCTGTCAATGAAGTTTTTGCCACACTCACAGCACGCATAGGGTCTCTCTCCTGTGTGTATCCTCCGATGTTTAATAAGGGATGATCTGTGAGTGAAGCTTTTCTGACATTCACGGCATTCATAGGGTCTCTCTCCTGTGTGGATCTTCTGATGTTTAAGAAGAACTGAGCGGCTACTGAAATTTTTCCCACACTCAGAACATGTGTTGTTTCTCGCTCCTGCCTGGATTTTCTGCTGGGCTGTGGTTTTCTTGACGTATTTGTGAGGTCCCCAACTATTAATGGATTTATTCAATTTCTGCCTTGGCTTGTTTCCCTGCTTCCTCTCTGGCCTGAGCTGACTCTCACATCCTTCTCTCTGCTCACCACTCCTGGACACATCCTCCTCAGATATTTGCAATAATGCCCCGTGTGGTTTGTCTTGCTCAGCATCTTCCTGCTGAGGTTGGTGCTCTTCCTTCTCCCTCAGCATCCCATCACCTATTGGCAGAAAAAGGAATCAAAAAGGGGAGACCAAACCATGATGCAAATTAGCTGCGGTGGAAGAGGCCAGAAGCGCCTCGTGTTCTGGCAATCCCTAATCCCTAGGGTTTCAATGAGACCACTCACATAGAATCATAGACTCATAGAAGATTAGGGTTGGAAGAGACCTCAGGAGTTCATCTAGTCCAACTCCCTGCTCAAGCAGGACCGATCCCCAACTAAATATTTAATGTGCTTTCAATTAAGCACATACTTCGGTGGATTCAGACTGGTAGGCTTGGAAGGATTAGATTTTTATCAATAAATATCAATTTCACTGCAAACACACAAACCGAGCAAAAATATTGCCGTCAATAATCAAAATTTCAAATAGGCAACTTAAGAAAAATGCTGCTTGAGAACACAGAGTTTGCTTTAAGGATACCGACTTTGTATATTTCGACACGTGAGGTTGAGAGTTTGTTTTCCCAGCGAAAAAGCTTTTACGGTTTGAATCTCAACATCTACTGCCATTAAATAAAGATTGTCTGACTTCCCCGCATAATTTCCTGCAACTGAAAACTTAAAATTGATAAACATTGACAAAAAAAGGCTAAAACTTTTATTTTGCACAATTATGAAAATTTAAAACAGTAAGAATTGAAAAAAAGCTTAAAAATAAGTTGACATTATAAAAAAAAATAAAAATAAAAATTGAATTCTGCCAAGCCTACAGGTTGGTGACCTAGAGGTAAAGTTCCCTCACCCCATTGCTATTCATCTGAGCTATGTTGTCCTGTACCTCGATACTTTAATACAGTTAACTTGTGTTTTGTTCATCAAATTCTAGACCAGACCCCTTAGCTTCTAGAATACTTTAGAGTGAAGTTGGAGGCATTTAAAGTATGTTTTTCATCTTTGGCCCTGTTTTCTTCTCTCTACCTTCTTCTAAGGGTGTCTGATGCAACAACCATTCAGGCTCTGAGTTCTCTTCTCAGATCCCAAATTTTAGACTTAAAAAAAATGTTAACCCAGAGATCTTGTTCTAAATATCACTTTATATCTCACCGTGGCATGCTTTCCCCGCACTGGTTCAGCAGGGGTTAACCCCGCTCTGTGGGCCAAAGAGGCCACACCCCCTCGACTCTGCTGGGCATGCTCAGGTATAAAAGGCAGCAGCTCCACTCAGTTGGGGCTGATCACTGAGGAGGGAGGATGCACCAGCCCGGGAGCTGTGGAAGCCTCAGACCGCAGGAGCCAGAGACACCGAGACTCAAGCGGACGCCCAGGTACCTACGGACACCCAAGAGGGATTAAAGCCACCGGGAACTGTGCAGGCTGAGGAACCTGGAGACCCCGGAGGTGCCCGGACCACAGCATCAGGGACAGAGTAGGAAGTAGCCCAGGGGGACTAATGAATGTGCCGGGTGATATCAGTGTGTTGCGGTCGGATCCCCGCTGACTCAGTGGCAAATACTTTCACCACTGACAGGGTCCTGGGCTGGGACCCGGTGGAGCAGGGAGGGCCCGGGTCCCCCTACCCTGGCCACCAACCACCCCTAGGTGATGGTACACTTCTTCCCATTGGCCATCAGGCTATGCAGCCCTGAGGGATGGGGGCAGCCATATTGCCTTTGGTCCCTACATCGCACCACCCCAAGGCTCAGGGAGATCAGGTAGACTCAGCCACAGGGCGATAATGTCCCCTCTCCTGCCCCAAAAAGGGGACGGGGCGCGCTTGCACCATGACATTCACCAACTCAGAGAGCCCCAGTCCTAACAGTTTACCTGCAAAGTCTGCATAACCATCTATGCAGCGTTTTCACTTCAAAATAAATAGCGAGCAAATGCTGCACGGAGAGAAGTGGAGGAATAACAGTGCTGGCTTTGAACCAGCAATTGTGTAGACAGGAGCTGTGCAAGCTTTCTCCGACAGAGCCACCAACGAATACTAGTTCTGTCCTACAAAGCTCCTGTTGTTTCAATGGCCTTCTCTTGAGCCAGTTGTATAGGAGCAGGATTTTATATTTGTACTATAAGAATTAATATATGATTTAATTATTTTGTTAGTTATTTTTTTTGAATAGCGAAAAAGAATGATTTTTTGGGATATTGGTAGAAACACATTTGATAGATTGCTAGTGTTTGTATTGATGTTAAGGCAGGGGCAGATTAGAATAATTTTTATGATTGATTATGGTTATTTTTTTGTTTTAGGATAAGGGTACATCTACCGGATCGGCGGGTAGTGATCGATCTATCGGGGATCGATTTATCGAGTCTACAAATCGATCCCCAATCGCTCTGCTGTCGACTCCTGTACTCCACCGCGGCGAGGCGGAAGTGGAGTCGACGGGGGAGCGGCGGCAGTCGATCCCGTGCCATGAGGACGCGTGGTAAGTCGACCTAAGATACGTTGACTTCAACTACACTATTCTCGTAGCTGAAGTTGCGTATCTTAGATCGATCCTCCCCTCCCTCCCCCCAGTGTAGATCAGGCCAAAATTATAATGTTTATTATGGTTTTTTTATATGTATTATAAATTAGGCATTTTAGTTAAATATCAATTTTTTTTTGTTTTAAGGTTTAGTAAGTAAAAAATAGAATTTTGTATTGTGTTTATGTTAAGGAAATTAGAGGAATGTTAAAGGCTCGGGCCACAATGTGTACTGTTTTAATTACAAAATTTAGTAAGGTTTAATTTATAATGCTTTTTTTGCTTAATATAAAAATTGCTGTATATTTTTTGAAGGTTTTTGTAAAAAACTGTTTGTGTAAATAAAAAATGCATGCATTAGAAAAAAATAAGGTGTAAGGGCCACTGTTAACCAAATGGTTTAAAAAGAATAAATAGCAAAAACACTTATTAATGCTAAAAAACTATTACCGCGCATTTATGATTGAGGAAGGACAAATTAACAACCCTGAGGTATAGGCTGGCATTTTAAAACACAATTAATTAAATTTGGAACAAAATAACCTTTTTGGAGGTGTTTTAAAATATTAATATTAAAAAATAACACCAATTAAAAAATGACCGGTTATAAACTAACACAGCAAACTTTATAAACTTTAATAATAATTAAAAAAAAAAAACGACTATAAAAACAGCGTGCTTTGCCATGGGACTTTGGGTTCGTCTTGCCACGCTCCAGAAGCATCAAATCACAACCAACAGAGCCATGCTCCTCTCTGCAACCAATCTGTCTGGCCACTAAATTAATCCAAACTCTGGGCTAGTAACTATAAACATCGACTGACGGGACTGTGTGCATGGTGTGGGTCTGTAATTAAAAAGCATGTGCTAACTGTTGTATTCTCAATAAATGCGGCGTGCTGCCTTCTCCCCTATAAAAATCCCGCGTGCTTCTTATAAGTATAACATTTTTGGTGGAGAATTGCAGCAAACAGGAATGTTGTGGAGCAGGCCAAGATAAAAGCAAACTCCTTTCCATGTTTGATCGGAGATGACTTTTGAACCCATGGGTAAGTGGCTGGCACACTGCCCTGTTGGCAAGTATTGATCTATCAGTATCAGGGAAACGTTTACATGAGTTCTGCTGACTCCCTGAGGCAGATGAGTCCTTCGCACAGTTGATTAGAAGTATAAGGGAAGTGTGTGATTGTGACCCAAGAGTCCCTCAATGCCTCCCGGCAAGGGGTTACAAGAATACCCTGTTCTGGCATGTACATTCTGCTTCAACAAAAAATCTCATGTGAAGTTATAAATGAAGCCAGGGTCATAAGAACATAAGAACGGCCACATTGGGTCAGACCAATGGTCCGTCTAGCCCAGTATCCTGTCTTCCGACACAGGCCAATGCCAGCTGCTTCAGAGGGAATAAACAGACCAGGCAATCAACTGATCCATCCCCTGTTGCCCACTCCCAGCTTCTGACAATCAGGAGGCTAGGGACACACAGAGCATGGGGTGGATCCCTGACTATCCTGGCTAATAGCCATCGATAGAACTAGCCTCCATGAACTTAACTAGTTCTTTTTTGAACCCTGTTATAGTTTTGGCCTTCACAACACCCTCTGGCAAGGAGTTCCACAGGCTGACTATGCGTTGTGTGAAAAATACTTCCTTTTGTTTGTTTTAAACCTGCTGCTTATTAATTTCATTGGGTGACCCCTAGTTCTTGTGTTATGTGAAGGAGAAAATAACATTTTCTTATTCACTTTCTCCACACCTGTCGTGATTTTATAGACCACTATCATATCCTCCCTTCATTGTCTCTTTTCCAAGATGAAAACGCCAGTCTTTTTAATCTCTTCTCATACGGAAGCTGTTCCATACCCCTATTCATATTTGTTGACCTTCTCTGTACCTTTTCCAAATCCAATGCATCTTTTTTGAGATGGGGAGACCACATCTGCGCACAGTATTCAAGCTGTGGGTGCATCATGAATTTATATAGGAGGCAACATGATATTTTGTATCTTATCTATCTTTTCCTAATAATCCCCAATATTGTTACCTTTTTTGACTGCCGTGGCATATTGAGCAAATCTTTTCAGAGAACTATCCACAATGCCTCCAAGATCCCTTTCTTGAGTGGTAACAGCTAACTTAGATTCTGTCATTCAGTATGTATAGTTGGGATTATGTTTTCCAATGTGCATTACTTTTCGTTTATCAACACTGAATTTCATCTGCCATTTTCTTGCCCAGTCGTCCAGATTTCTGAGATCCCTTTGTAACTCTTCACAGTCTGCTTTGGACTTAACTCTCCTGAGTAGTTTTGTATTGTCTGCACATTTTGTCACCTCCTTTTCCAGATAACTTATGGATATGTTGAACAGCACAGGTCCAATACAGACCCCTGGGGGACCCCACTGTTTCTCTCTCTCCATTCTGACAATTTAACATTTATTCCTAGTTTGTTTCCTCTCTTTTAACCAGATCCTGAAAGGACCTTCCTTCTTAATCCATGACAGTTTACTTTGCTTAAGAGCCTTGGGTGAGAGACCTTGTCAAAGGCTTTCTGAACATCGAAGAACACTAGATTCATTGGATCACCCTTGTCCACATGCTTGCTGACTCCCACAAAGAATTCTAGTAGATTGGTGAGGCATGATTTCCCTTTACAAAAGCCATGTTGACTCTTCCCCAACAAATCATGTTCATCTATGAGTCTGATCATTCTGTTCTTTACTAGAGTTTCAACCAATTTGCCTGATAGTGAAGTTAGGCCTACTGGCCTGTAAATGCTGGGATCGCCTCTGGAGCCTTTTTAAAAAATTTGCATCGCATTAGCTATCCTCCAGTCATCTGGTCCAGAAGCTGATTTCAATGACAGATGACATACCACAGTCAGTAGCTCTGCAATTTCACATTTGACTTCCTTCAAAACTCTTGGGTGAGTCCTGTTGACTTATTGTTGTTTAATTTATCATTTTTTCCCAAAACCGCTTCTAATGACACCTCAATCTGGGACAGTTCCTCAAATTTGTCACCTAAAAAGAATGGCTCATGTGTCGGAATCTCCCTCACAATCTCTGCAGGGAAGACTGATGCAAAGAATTAATTTAGTTTCTCCACAATGGCCTTATCATCCTTGAGTGCTGTTATAGAACCTCGATCGGCCAGTGGCCCCCCGTCTGTTTAGCAAGTGTCCTGCTTCTGGTGTGCTTAAAAATTTTGTTGTTGTTACTTTTTGAGTCTTTGGCTACTTGCTCTTCAAATTCTTTTTTGGTCTGCCAGATTATACTTTTACACGTGGCTGTGACATTATCTGATTAAACTATGACCATATAGATCATTGTTGCAACCACTGTTATATATTTGCAACCAATCTTGTACAAAATGGGGCATGTAAGATGTCTATGGAAAGGTTATGATTTGCTAAATATGATTATGCTATCTGGATGCATGTATCATTTTTGTATTTGAAGTTATGAGCATTGGCTCTACACCTGGGTTTCAAATGTTGGCTCCTGGGGTAACGCCCACACGGTAGCTAGCCAGCGCATCTTGGAGGGACTATTCAAATTGCGTGGCCCATTAAAGGACACTTGATTTACAATGGGAGATGGCGTTCTACTCTTAATGGACTTTCCTGACAGGACTAAGTGAAGTCAGGCACAGACATGTGACTTGCCCATGTGACTCCATCTTGTACCTGTAATTTTCCACTAGCTTTGTTTGAAAGAATTGGTTTCCCGCCACATGGCAGAAGCTATAAAAGGCCCTGGAAACATCTCCACTATGCCTCTATCCTGATCCACCCTCTTTCCTGCTCAACCCTCTGGACTATGGACTTATACTAATGGGAGCATCTAACCAAAGGACTGAGGACCATCCAGTTATTTAGAAGCAACCAGAGACTTATCAAGCCAGCAGTTTATTCCATCACTGCTACAAGCCTGAACTAAGAACTTGGCATTTATTGTATGTATTTGACTGCTTTAACCAATTTTAACTCTCACCTTTCTTTCTTTCTTTCTTTCTTTCTCTTTCTTTCTTTCTCTTTCTATAAATAAACCTTGAGATTTTAGATCCTAAAGGATTGGCAACAGTGTGATTTTTGGGTAAGATCTGACTTGACCTGGGTGTGTGGCTGATCCTTTGGGATCAGAAGAACTTCTTATTTGATGAAATTGGTTTTAAAGAACCACTCATCAATAAGTCTAGTGTTTTTGTTGGCGATACAAGGGACTGGAATTCCTAAGGAAACTGCTGTTCTGACTTCTTGTTAGCCAGTGTGGTGAAACAGAAGTTTACTTTTGTTGCTGATTTGGTATATCTCATGGGAGAATAACCTCCTGTTTTGGGCTATGTCCACCCTATTTCTCAGCCGTTTGTCCTGAATTTGGGTATTGTCAGTTGTGACCCACAAAGGCATGGTTACAGTGGCTTTCCACAGTTTATGTTCCTTTCTATTTTCCTCAGTAGGATTTAACTTCCCTTTTGCCTCTAACAGCTTCTTTTACTTCATAGTTTAGACATGGTGGCACTTTCTTGGTCCTCTTACTACATTTTTTTAAATTTTAGGATACACATTTAATTTGAGCTTCCACTGTCGTGTTTTTAAGTTTCCATGCAGTTTGCAGGCATTTCTCTTTTGAGATTGTACCTTTTGATTTCTGGTAAACCAACTTCCTCATTTTGGTGTAGGTCCCCTTTCTGAAATTAAATGCTACTATGGTGGGCTTCTTTGGTGTTTTCCCCCTTCCACAGGGATGTTAAATTTAATTATATTATTGGCGCTATTACCAAGTGGTCCAGCTACATTCACCTCTTGGACCAGATCCTGTGCTCCACTTAGGACTAAATCAAGAATGGCCTCTCCTCTGGTGGGTTCCAGGACCAGCTGCTCCAAGAAACAGTCATTTATGGTGTCAAGAAACTTTATCTCTGCATCCCGTCCTGAGGTGACATGGACCCAGTCAACATGGGGATAGTGAAAATGCCCCATTATTGAGTTTATTTTTATAGCCTCTCTAATCTCCCTGAGCATTTCATGGTCACTATCACCATCCTGGTCAACCAAAGAAGTGCTGGAGAGATGGACATAAATCAGGGACTGAATTTCCCCAAATTCTGTCCTACAGAGGTAAGGGGATCAATTCTGCCTGTAAATCCCGTCCAAGCACTCAGGGGGAAGGGAAGGGAAGGAAGGAGCTACTGCCAGCTGTCACTCAGGATGGGTAGGACGTCATGAGCGACTTCTGCCCTGAGGATACAAACCTGCTGGGCAGAATCCTGAACTCGGAGAACTCACAAGGTCTCTGTCGGGAACCCCAGCCATTTCCTTCAGACACGGACAGGTTTTGAATTGATTTCGTGATTCCTCACCTGTGCAGGTACCTCTCAGGATCTCTCTTTCCTCTGAATGAAGGAGATCTGGGACCCACCGCTCTTTGTCTTGTTCCAGGTGAGAGAGCTCATCAGGTGTGACAACTGGAAACTCTGCACGGGGAAAGGAAATCAGGTGGGCTCAAGGGGATTTCTCACAAATGTATTATTTTAACCTGAGGCCATTTTGACGTAGCAATGTGCTGAGGCTAGCGCCACAGAGGTGCAGATGCGTAGGACATTCTGCTTAAAGAGGGATTTAACAAACCCCATCTCTGCTGGGAAAACACACCGCCCGACCAGCCTCCTCAAAGAGGGGCCTAAAACACAGAGACTGCAACTCCGTAGCTTAGAAGGTGAAGATTGCATCCAGCAGGGAAACCACCTGCTTCTTTCCGAGAAAGAGAGGACAAGAGAAAAAACAGAGAGAGTCACAGGGAAGCTGGGAAGAGTGAGCGTGGGTGGGTGGGGTTCAGAGGGCTAATGTGCGTTATGCATTTTCCCTGCATTCTGCAGGAGTTCCTCTGGGGCGTTGTGCCCACGAAAACCAAAATTTCTGGGCTCAGAGCAGTATTTTAAAGTCCTCTAATATCCACATGCAGATTACGACTTGGGCTGCTTTTTCAAATCTGGCAGCATACTTGGCTCAGTCATAGAATCATAGAAGATCAGGGTTGGAAGGGACCTCAGGAGGTATCTAGTCCAACCCCCTGCTCAAAGCAGGACCAACCCCAACTAAATCATCCCAGCCAGGGCTTTGTCAAGCCTGACCTTAAAAACCTCTAAGGAAGGAGATGCCACCACCTCCCTAGGGAACCCATTCCAGTGCTTCACCACCCTCCTAGTGAAAAAGTTTTTCCTAATATCCAACCTAGACCTCCCCACTGCAACTTGAGACCATTGCTCCTTGTTCTGTCATCTGCCACCACCAAGAAAAAACGGTTACTCACCTTCTCGTAACTGTTGTTCTTCGAGATGTGTTGTTCATGTCCATTCCAAGCAGGTGTGTGCGCGCCGCGTGCGCGCCAGCCGGAAGATTTTACTATAGCAGCGTCCGTAGGGTCGGCTTCGGTGCCCCCTGGAGTGGCGCCTTCATGGCGCTGTATATAGGGGCCAGCCGACCCCCTACCCCCTCAGTTCCTTCTTGCCGATACTCCGACAGAGGGGTAGGAGGGCGGGTACTGGAATGGACATGAACAACACATCTCGAAGAACAACAGTTACGAGAAGGTGAGAAACCGTTTTTTCTTCTTCGAGTGATTGTTCATGTCCATTCCAAGCAGGTGACTCACAAGCCCGAATCTAGGCGGTGGGGTCGGAGGTCACTGCAGACTGGAGGATTGCGCGGCCAAAGGCAGCATCATCTCTGGCCTGGTGTGTGATGGCGTAGTGCACCGTAAAGGTGTGGATTGAGGACCAGGTGGCCGCTCTACAAATTTCCTGCGTTGGGACCTGGGCCAGGAACGCAGCGGAAGAGGCCTGCGCTCTTGTGGAGTGGGCCGTGATAGGCGGGGCTGGTATATTGGCCCGACTGTAGCACTCCCGGATGCAGGTTCTGATCCAAGCCGAGATTCGCTGTGATGAGACCGGCAGCCCTTTCATCCTGTCGGCCACGGCGACAAAAAGTTGGGTTGACTTCCTGAAGGATCTTGTCCTTTCGATATAGAACGCGAGAACCCTGCGAACGTCCAGGGAATGCAGTCTACGCTCCTTCGCAGAGGAGTGTGGTTTCGGATAAAACACCGGGAGAAAAATGTCTTGACCCATGTGAAATGGGGAAACCACCTTAGGGAGGAAAGCTGGGTGCGGCCTGAGTTGGACCTTGTCCTTGTGGAAGACGGTGTATGGAGGTTCAGATGTTAGAGCTCTGAGTTCCGACACTCTCCGGGCTGATGTGATAGTCACCAAGAACACGACCTTATATGAAAGATATAACAGCGAGCACGAAGCCAGCGGCTCGAAGGGTGGCCCTGTGAGGATGGACAGGACCAAATTGAGATCCCAAGCAGGGACAGGTTGACGAATGTGCGGGAACAATCTGTTAAGGCCCTTGAGGAATCGTCCAACGAGTTGGTCCGCAAACACTGAGGTACCCGCCGCTCCAGGGTGGAATGCCGAGATTGCAGCAGCAAGGTGTACTTGAACCGAAGAGAGAGTCAGTCCCAGGTGTCTCAGATGTAGCAAGTAGTCCAATATGAGAGGGACCGGGGCGAGCAAGGGAGCCTGACCCCGTTGTGTGGCCCAGAGGGAGAAGCGCTTCCACTTGGCCAAGTACGTGGTCCTTGTTGAGGGCTTCCTGCTACCAAGAAGGGCCTGCCTGACCTGATGAGAGCATTGCAACTCCACGGGGTTTAGCCATGGAGCATCCAGGCTGTAAGGTGGAGCGACTCCAGGTTCGGGTGAAGGAGGCAACCGCGATCCTGTGTGATCAAGTCCAGTAGTAGGGGCAACCTGAGGGGCACCCACATAGACATGTGCAGGAGAGACGTGTACCAGTGCTGGCGCGGCCATGCAGGCGCTATCAGGATGAGCCGAGCGTGATCTCTGCGGGCCTTGAGGATCACTCTGTGAACCATGGGAATCGGGGGAAAGGCGTAAAATAGCCCGTCTGCCCAAGAGAGGAGAAAGGCATCTGTTAGAGACCCTGGACTGCGTCCCATGAGGGAGCAGAATTGACGACATTTCCTGTTCTCGCTGGAGGCAAACAGGTCCACCTGGGGATGACCCCAGAGCCGGAAAATTGAGAGTACTATATCCCAGCGGATAGACCACTCGTGACCCTGGAACGAGCGGCTGAGGGTGTCCGCAAGCCCGTTGTGCGTCCCTGGGAGTTAGGACGCTGTGAGGTGAATTACGTTCTGTACGCAAAAGTCCCATAATGCGAGGGCCTCCCGGCAAAGGGGAGAGGAGCGAGCACCACCCTGTTTGTTGATATAGAACATCGTTGGAGTATTGTCCGTGAGGACAGAAACGCACCTGCCTGTCAGCTGGGATTTGAAGGCTATGCATGCGAGGCGCACCGCTCGTAAGTCCCTGACATTGATGTGCAACGAAAGATCCTCTCGTGACCAAAGGCCTTGGGTTCTGAGGCCGCCCAGATGTGCACCCCATCCCCGATCCGATGCGTCCGTTACCAGGGATAGGGAGGGCTCGGGGTCGAGGAAAGGCACTCCCGCACAGACCACCCGCGGGTCGAGCCACCATTGAAGGGAGTCCAACATCGGCCGAGGTAACGTCACCACTGATTCTAGGGAGTCCCTGACTGGCCGATACACCCCTGCCAACCAAGACTGGAGTGGGCGCAGTCTGAGTCTGGCACGTCTCACCACGTAGGTACATGCCGCCATGTGCCCTAGTAATTTGAGACAGCTTCTTGCTGTGGTGGTCGGGTAACGTTGGAGGCTGAGAATAATGTTGGATATAGTCCGGAATCTGGCCTCTGGGAGATACGCCCTGGCGTGTGTCGAGTCCAGAACTGCTTCTATGAATTCGATTTTTTGGGTTGGAGATAGTGTGGACTTGGCCTCGTTGAGTAAGAGGCCGAGCGCGAGGAAGGTCTGCCTGGTAAAGACCACCTGAGCCTCCACCTGCGCCTTGGTCCTGCCCTTGATGAGCCAATCGTCCAGGTAGGGAAACACGTGGATCCCCTGCCTGCGCAGGAAGGCTGCCACGACTGCCATGCACTTCGTGAAGACCCTTGGGGCTGCTGACAGACCAAAGGGCAGAACCGTAAATTGTAGATGAGCATTGCCCATGAGAAACCTGAGGTAACGCCTGTGCTGAGGGATTATCGCAATGTGAAAGTATGCGTCCTTTAAGTCGAGGGCAGCATACCAGTCTCCTGGATCCATGGAAGGAATGATGGAGGACAGGGAGACCATGCGGAACTTGAGCTTCTTCACAAACTTGTTGAGACGCTGCAAATCCAGAATAGGTCTGAAGCCCCTTTTCGCTTTCGGTATTAGGAAATAGCGAGAATAGAAGCCCTTGCCCCGTAGCTCCTGAGGAACCTCCTCTACTGCCCCTGATACGAGGAGGGACTGAACTTCTTGAAGTAGAAGTTGCTCGTGAGAGGGGTCCCTGAAGAGGGACGGGGAGGGGGGCTGGTGGGGCGGGAGGGAGGAGAACTGGATAGAATATCCCCTCTCTACCGTGCGAAGCACCCAAGCGTCCGATGTGATCCGGGCCCACGCACGATAGAAGGGGGACAGACGTGACGAGAAGGTAAGGTTGGACGGATCCAGGGTTCTGACTGGGAGGTCGTCCTCGACCAAGCCATCAAAATGGTGGTCTAGGCCCCTGTGTAGGCCTTGGTTGGGCAGATGACTGGCTGAAGGGCTGCTGTTGTTGCCTCCTCCTGCCCGTCCTTGCCCTTCTGCGCAAGGCATCCCCTCGATTTTGAGGCTGGTACGGCCGAGGGGCCTGCGGTGGCCTGAACTGCCTACGCTGGGTGACCGGGGTGTGTAGGCCTAATGAACGGAGGGTGGTCCGTGACTCCTTTAGGCTATGAAGCCTCTTTTCAGTCTTCTCCGAGAACAGCGTGGGCCCTTCGAAGGGGAGGTCCTGGATCGTTTGTTGGACCTCATGAGGGAGGCCGGAAACTTGAAGCCAGGCTCCGCGCCTCATGACCAGATCAGTCGCCAACATGCGTGAGGCTGAATCGGCCGCGTCCAAGGCCGCCTGGAGGGAAGCCCGGGTAATCAATCTCCCCTCTTCAACCAGGGCTGGAAACTCGGTTCGCGACTCCTGTGGAAGGAGGTCCGCGAACCTAGACAAAGCCGAGCACGTGTTGTGTCCATACCGGCTCAGTATGGCCTGCTGATTGGCAATGCGCAACTGCAGGCCCCCCGTCGAATATATCTTGCGCCCAAACAGGTCCAACTTTTTGGCCTCTCTATTTTTAGGTGTAGCTCCCTGAAACCCTTGGCGTTCCCTCTGGTTGGCTGCATCTACCACTAGGGAGTCCGGGGGAGGGTGTGTATAAAGATGTTCATAGCCCTTGGTTGGAACAAAATATCGCTTCTCAGTCCTTTTGGCCGTAGGGGCCAATGAGGCTGGAGTTTGCCACATGGTGCGGGTTGTGTCTGTAATGGTCTTTATGAGAGGTAGGGCTACCCTGGATGGGCCCGACGGGGTCAGGATATCAATCACCGGATCCGCGTCCACCTCGATCTCCTCAGTCTGGATCGAGAGGCTTTGGGCTGCTCGAGTAAGCACTTGTTGGAGGATCCTATTGTCCTCTAGGGCCGGTGCCGCTGAAGTTCCCGCTACTGCCTCATCCGGAGATGAGGAGGAAGAGATCCCCTGAAGAGGGCCTTCATCTACCCCCTCTCCCTCTACGAGGGCCTGCGGCACATGGTACTCAGCCTGCGCAGTCGGTGCGGGCTCAGGATGCGGCACCGCGGCCGGTACCGGGGTTGACACCGAGCGACGAGGCGTGCTGGACAGTGCCTGCGGTGTTGGGAGCAAGGTCCCTGTCGGTGCCGTTGTTTGGCTAGGCAGTGCCGTGTCCCTTTGTGGCACACTCCTGTCAGACGGCGGTGCCGGTGGTGGTGGCATTAGCGGCGGGGCCGCGGACGTCGAACAGACAGATGCAGCTCGTGAGCGGGGTCCATACGCCTGACCCACTGACTGGTGGTAGGCCCACGGCGTCCAGAACGGCCACTGGGGGGGCGGTTGCCACTGCTGCTGCCACTGCGGTGGGTACGGTTGGGTATATGTACGCGAGGACGATCGCCTACTCCTCAATCAGTTAGAGCGGTACGAGTCCACCTCCGAGTCCGAAGTCTCTGAGTAGGAGGACATAGGAGGCGCGGTACCCACTGTCGCCGGAGAGGGTGCTGTCTGCACCGGTGCCGCTAGAGTAGCGTGGTGCGGGGAGCACGGCGAGAGCATTGCCGGTTTGCCCCTAGATTGATAATGGGGCCGAGCGGTAGCCGGAGGTTCTCTGCACCGGTGCGGTGACGCCGGCACCGGGAGGCTCAAGAGGTATGAGGCGGCCTCGAACGCCTCCGGCATCAATGGGAGGTTCACTTCCTCCATCATATCTGGGGATCTAGGCTTTTCCGGACTCGACCGTACCCTCTCCGGGGCAGGAGTCAACGGGATGGCCGAATGGGTCTGCGGCGCGAATTGTCCTGTAGCACTCGTGGACGGCGCCGGCCCTTTAGAGTCCCGGTGGGGAGAGTGTTCCCTCACTGGCCTGTTCCTTTTAACCAGCACTGGCAATGTGGAACGGTGTCTCATCGAGGCTGGTTTCTTGTGCGCCGACTCTCTCCGGTGCCGGGGTTTGGGGGCCTTGGCCTCACGACTTATCGCCGGTGCCGGGGCACTGCGCACCGAGGATGAAGTGCTGGGTGCCGGCTTGGTAGGCCTGGGATCTGATTGCGGCCGCAGGGCCGCCTCCATTAGGAGGACTTTAAGTCTCTGCTCTCTATCTTTGAGAGTCCTGGGGCGAAAAGCCCTGCAGATACTGCACCTATCTCTTTGGTGGCTCTCCCCTAGGCACCTTAAGCACGAAGAGTGCAGGTCACTCTTCGGCATGAATTTCCCGCAGTCCCAGCAGAGTTTGAACCCTGGGGACCCGGGCATGCCCCAGCGGGGCACGAAAACTTGGGGAAAACCCCCCAACTAATATCTAACTAAGTTAACACTAAACAACAAACTAACTAACTATTTACAACAACGACGGAACACTGCCACGATTGCTGAAGAGCAAGCGAAGTTCCAGCTAGCCGTCACCGGCGGTAAGAAGGAACTGAGGGGGTGGGGGGGTCGGCTGGCCCCTATATACAGCGCCATGAAGGCGCCACTCCAGGGGGTGCCGAAGCCGACCCTACGGACGCTGCTATAGTAAAATCTTCCGGCTGGCGTGCACGTGGCGCGCACACACCTGCTTGGAATGGACATGAACAATCTAAGGAAGGAGATTCCACCACCTCCCTAGGGAACCCATTCCAGTGCTTCACCACCCTCCTAGGGAAAAAGTTTTTCCTAATATCCAACCTAAACCTTCCCAACTGCAACTTGAGACCATTACTCCTTGTTCTGTCATCTGCAACCACTGAGAACAGTCTAGATCCATCCTCTTTGGAACCCCCTTTCAGGTAGTTGAAAGCAGCTATCGAATCCCCCCTCATTCTTCTCTTCTGCAGACTGAACAATCCCAGTTCCCTCAACCTCTCCTCATAAGTCATGTGTTCCAGCCCCCTAATCATTTTTGTTGCCCTCCGCTGGACTCTTTCCAATTTTTCCACATCCTTCTTGTAGCGTGGGGCCCAAAACTGGACACAGTACTCCAGATGTGGCCTCACCGAACAGAGGGGAATGATCACATCCCTCGATTTTTTTTCTCCTTTTGACAGTCACCACGTGTCTCCCGCTTACAGGTGGGAAGAATCACACCCTGAACCAAAAAAATTATAGTCTAGGCCCAGTTAATTCACTTCTTTAACCAGAGTTAGGGTTGCCGAGGGCTGCCATGCGTCCTTTCAGAACGTGGACGGTGACGAAACTTAGAGCTCTGAAAACCAGGAAATGAAGCATGAAAGTTCATATCACCTCTGCAGCATAACCTTAACTCTGCCCCTCAATCCTGGAGCTGGCATTAGCCACTGACTATCGATTAGTGAGGGTTACTGAACTACTGAGGAAATGGGGGATTCTCTTGGGAGTCTTCAAGTCAAGACTGGATGCCTTTCTGGATGAGTATTTAGTCTAACACAAGGTATTCAACTCAATACAAAAGCAACAGGAGAAAACTCTATGGTCTGTGTTATACAGAAGGTCAGAGGCGATGACCTAATAGTCCCTTGGGCCATAAAATCTACGAATTTATAATAGAGATGAGGAAGGACTAAGAGAACGTGCCACTGTCTGTGTTGTGTTCACAGATAGGAATCCCAGCATTTATCTGCATGCCCTCCAGCTGTATGCAGTGTGTCACCTGTAATGATGGAGGGATTAGTAGCAGCATCTTGGCAGAGCTGTGACTGTGATATAAAGGGAGGTGCATGTGATCCTTGAAGGAGCAAGCCTGCCTCATTTCATTCCTGAGTGTTCTAGGTTGCAACAATCAAGGTGCACAAGGGTGTGTTCTTTCCATGAGCGTTGTCGGCACTTTGGGGGAACACATGCTAGCCCTCTCCAGGGTTTAGAGAAAGGTAATAGATGGCAATGACTCAGAAGGAATCATCATCAGTGGTAGCAGATGACAGAGCAAGGAGCAATGGTATCAAGTTGCAGTGGGGGAGGTCTAGGTTGGATATTAGGAAACACTATTTCACTAGGAGGGTGGTGAAGTACTGGAATGGGTTCCCTAGGGAGGTGGTGGAATCTCCTTCCTTAGAGGTTTTTAAGTTCAGGCTTGACAAAGCCCTGGCTGCGATGATTTAGTTGGGGATTGGTCCTGCTTTGAGCAGGGGGTTGGACTAGATACCTCCTGAGGTCCCTTCCAACCCTGATCTTCTATGATTTGCCAGAGGCTGGGAATGGGCTGCAGGGGATGGATCTCTTGATGATTGATTCCCTGTTCTGTTCATTCCCTCTGGGGCAGCTGGCATTGGCCACTGTCGGAAGACAGGATACTGGGCTAGATGGACCTTTGGTCTGACCCAGTCTGGCCGTTCTTAACCCTCAGGGGCAAAGACATGGTGATATTTTGCAAGTCTGTGATGGTTTGTGTGGCGTAGGCTCCATCTGAGGGCCGGCCAGGAGTCAGAAGCTTCTGTTCGCTATGCCAGACCTAAACCCAAGTTTTGCCTGAGCAAAGAGAAGATGTTAGACTTTGTGCTGTACTGCTCTGTTCCCACAGCGCTCGGTAATGAGCAGGGTAGAGTGCTGGTGTGTGTGTGTCACTGGCTTGTTGCGGTGTTGTTGAATCAGGGCAGAATGAACATGGCATTGTGGGGGGGTGACATGAACCTTAACTCTGCATTTCCCCTTCTAGTAACCGAGAGGACGGGAATCCTTACCCAGCGAGGTCACATTCTCATAGTTCTCCTGTATGACGTCTCTGTAGAGGGCTTTTTGACGGGGGTCCAGCAGAGCCCATTCTTCCCTGGTGAAATACACAGTCACCTCCTCGAAGGTCACCGGCCTCTGGAAAAGCAAGAGGATGAGGAAGAGGGATAGCTCAGTGGTTTGAGCATTGGCCTGCTAAACCCAGGGTTATGAGCTCAATCCTTGAGGGGCCTATTTAGGGAACTGGGGCAAAAAAAAAAAAAAAAATCTGTGGGGGACAGTACTTGGTCCTGCCTAGTGAAGGCAGAGGACTGGACTCAATGACCTTTCAAGGCCTATGAGATAGGTATATCTCCATATATTAATTATTAAGAGTCCAACACTCAGTACCTACTGCCCCATTATTCATGGGGGAGGAGGACAATCAAAAGGATACAGCGTCAGAGGAGTCCAACTCAACGGCCACGTGGCTCTTTCTAAAAACTTGGCCCTGGGTTTACCAAGTCCCAGCAGCTTCATCACACCTTGTCCTACGGCCTGCACCCTCCTCCCACCCTTAGATAGATCAAACTCCCACTTCCTGTGTATTCTCTGGCTCCTGCGGGAACCCCCCAGCATCCCTACCTGAGACAGCTCTGCTGCATCCATTTCCCTTCCCCAGGAGAATCTGGAGGGACCCAGGGATGTTATTCTGCAGCCTGTCGGGGAGAGAAGGGTTATGGGGGGGTTGCAGAACAGACTTTAGG